ATATATATATATATATATATATATTATTTTTCAAATATATTGCATTTGTTATTATTCGTGGGCATGCTATTGACAGTTGAAATAATTGTTGTATAGTGCTCACGACACCTAGTAGGGATTGGAGATATCCTGATTTGTTCAAAAGGGGTAATCGAGATAGCCTCGTTACCAACAAAGAGAAATCATTTTTAGGAAAATAATTTGAATGATAATATTGAAAATAACCGAAACCAATAATCCAATATTGGGATTTCCATATAAAGTATTGCTTTAATAAAAATCAGAAATACGTCAAATTTAGGCAAGAAAAAAGGAAAAAGAAAAGAAAAGATGCTCGATTAAAGCTTCTTCCCAATCTCAGTGTTTTCTTACGCCTTAATCTCTTTGGCTTAATTAAGGGGCACCTTGAAATGTAGGATGTTAAATGTTGAAGAAGAAACTTGAGTTCTGACCTATTGCAATCAGAAAGATTAAAAAATCTTGACAAATGTCTCAAAAAAAAAAAAAAAAAAAAAAAGAAAGAAAAGGTAAATGGGGAGAGTATGGGAGGTCAGAGAAGAGATGAAGAGGACAAAGAAGACTAGAAAGGTAGAGAAAAAGGGTGAAGAGAGGAATGGAGATGAAGAAAGAGAGAGGTTGGGACAGGAAAGGGAGATGGTAAATAGAAAAAGTATGGGAGAAGAGAGAGACAAGGGAGATGAGAAAGAAGATGAGGGAGATGAGAAAATAGAAAAACTAAGGGAAGAGAGAGAAAGGGAGATGAAGAGGTTGTCCAGTTGCCCCGTTTTGGATTTCAAGTTCGGATGTAATTGATCAGCGCTTAACGATTTGCAATGTTACATCTTAGAGTCGGTTCTTCCAAACGGTAAGGTTCTCTCCTTAATGAATCACTCAAAAACGTTCAGGCCAAGCGGATCAAAGTGGACACAATGTTACAAGTGGGTACACACCAAAGCCATGTCCTTCAATTTAATTCATGTAACATTTTAATAAAGAAAAATATGTCTAACAGTCTAGAGCGCAAAATAGTAGCACTAGATTAAATGATGCTTTCTTGACAAGTACATCAGCCATCATGTTACATATGTTTCAAATTGATTAATCATATATGCTATGTAGCTAATACAAAACATAACAAAAAAGTAATTGGTGCATAAGATTCCACAATAGCCTCCCCTGACGCACTTAACACCCATATTGTAGATGGATGTCAATGGCAACCCGCTTAGATTCTTAATTAAAGGCGTTAAAATTATATTTAAAATCTCATTTTCATTTTTTTTAAAATTATTTTTTAATTCATACTCATCATGGTTTAGAATTTTACATCCCAAAGCCATCTTTAAAATGGCTTTTTGGAGAGGAGGATTTATTTAAATAGGTGAGGCTAGGACCTCATAAAAACCTTGTCCAAAGATAACATCTAGCAATTACTGGCCATTTTTTGGTGCAATACTTAGCATTTTCTGCCAAAATCGTTAACCCCTTAACACATTAAACACAACTCTTACATTAATATCCATGTCACAGCCTTTTGAACCAAGGATTGTATACCATGAGACCAGTTATCTTTATTATTTTGAACAAAAATCGTATACCATGAGACCAATTATCTTTATTACAAGAACATGACCATCAATTCTACTTATTAGATGTTAAATTAGATAGCTTGGAGTCTGTCATGAAAGGCGGCCCGACCCTTAAACCTAAAGCCTGAGCCCCAAATTGTGGCCCAAAGGCTGGGCCAATGCTGGCCGGGCCTTCTTTTTTAATTTTTTCCTTTTACTTTTGCTTTATCTATTTCTAGCCCAACCCAAGCCCGGCTATTTGCCACCCTTGTCACGAAGTTGCAATTTTTTTTTTTTTTGGAATTGTCTAATCAATGACACTCACATGCACCCGATTTAAAATGTCAAGAATGATCTCCTTTAGAATTTGTAGATGGAGATATTTTTCTTTTTATTAAAAAACGATTCGCCGAACATTAATGATTCAATTAGTCAAAACAATTAACAAAAAAACGTAGCACAATCCAATCACTTTTTTGATAAATATAGGACGTTTAAGTCGTACAAATAAACATATATCTCACCTTTAACCTCTTGGCCTAAAAATAATAATCTTTCTCAATGAAATCAGGTGATTAGGATCAAATTGTATCCCTTAATAATCGTACATGCACAGTTGTATATATATATAGTCATCAATGGAGTAGAAAAAAGTGGTGTAATGGAGTGAACGACGTCCGAGTTTCCATTAAAGTCAAAAAAGACTTTTATAGGATATTTTCCTTAAATGCACAATGAGATAACACAGCCACGTAAATAAATGGTAAACTTATCCAGCACTAGTCACCCCCTTCTCTCTCTTCACAGTTGTGCATGAATATCTTGAGCTAAATATTAATGGTAGCCTCCCAAAGCCGAAGAAGTCCATTACGAGCTCCACTACAAATCCTCTTGTGGTCTAGGTCTGAAGATACACATCTTACCTGAAAATTACACATGCCGAAAAAACAAATCAAATCACATATTTTGATGCGCCTAGGTACAAATTCATCCATCTCAAACCGTCCCCAAAAAAAATTGTTAACATTTTTATTGCCAAAGCACAAATTTTAAACCACCATAATGCATTGCGTCACATGTTTTGGGGACGTTATATATTGATCATACAATAGAAAATATATGCCCACCTTATACTATACAACGTGGACCTCTAAACTTCGTCAAGAGATGTTCCAGTCTCGAAACCATTACGATGGCTCGAAAATTCACGTTCAAACTTAATTATGAAATTTAAAATTTCAAAACTGGTGCAGATTAAACATATTTTATTGGCACTTTAAAATTCTAAAACTAGACAGTCTAGATAAATTGCTACAAGATAAACTCTTTTTCTTTATATTATACATATCTTGGGGTCAAGATGATCAATTGGACTGTCGTCCAACTTCCAACACTCTTTTCTACTAGACTTTTATGTGCACCTTCTATAGTATAAGGTTGCAACATTTTGTAAGGTAAAATACATATTAAAATCCACCTGAAAAGGTTATTCTGACGTTGAAAAACTCTGCAATAGATCATCTCGACTTCAAGATGTATAGATATGTTAAAAAGAAAAAAAGTTATCTTAAAAATAGTATATCTTGTAACACATTACCTAAACCATCCAATTTCAAAATTCCGAAGAGTTTTAGGGATCTGCTTGATCTGCACTTCTTTGGGAGAAAAATATTTTATAACTGGGTTGTGAAAAAATGGATTTCTAGGTCATAATAAGGATTTCTAGAACCACAACTGCACGTATGCCTCTTGATTGTTTAAGGTTGTCATTTAGAAATAGGACCAACCAACAGTAGTAGATCTTCTCCACAATTTATGACGCATGATTGCAGGCAAATCTAACTGCACAACCCTCTTTGCGAGAATACCCATCCTAGAATGAAACCTTAGTGTAGCATCGCCTTAATTTGTGTAGCATCACCTTAATTTGTCAACCAATTCAAGGAAGTGGTTGACAATTTGAGGGGGAGGAAGACAATCATGAGGCAATCATTTTTATCAACAATCACTACAATGAAAAATCACATGAAGTTCAGGATAATCTGGGACTAGTTCATATAATCCATCAATTTTGAGAACTAGAACAAAACATCTCTAAAGATATGGCTATACATATGTAAGATCTCATGTTGATGTGAACCTATTAGTAGTCCCCTCTCCTGTTCTCTCTCTCTCTCTCTCTCTTTGAAAGAACAGTGAAAAAAGCAAACCAAATCCAGTATAGAAATGAAAAAGAAGATACCATAGCCACAGTTCGTTGTGGAGTTCTATACAACTGCCATCCTGCCATCTTTGATCCTACACCAGAGAAGCTACCAAGTCTTTCTTGGGGCCGATGGAAGAGAGACATAGAATTATCAGCGGCACCAATAGCTAGCCAATTTTCCCCAGTGTTGATAGATAGAATTGACGATGAATGAACAGTCACATTCTTCACACATCTTATTCCACCTGCAAATAAATCACAAGTCAGAAAAGATTGAACCACAAATCCTCTCTAGAGGGAAAACTGCTAATTTCCAGGTGTTCCTTATCATCTAATTGAGTAACAAAAGCTGGAATTATTGTTAGCCAATACTTGAGTTAGTGTTGAAATAATATCATAATAAGATGGATTTTTATCACAAGCATAACAAAATGCAGTCTAGGCCTCATGGAAATTTAAAATTTAAATTCTCAAACTCTTGGAAGTTAATTTGGAACTTGATACCCCCTTCGGCAATCAATCACTTCTTTGTTTGGTTCTTTACTACAATCCTTAATTGCAAAAATTGATGAACAAAATTGCTGCACGAGTATGGATAAGTTACATAATTATGACGTGACTTCTCCCACTTGGAGAGATGCTAATGTGATTAAAACAAACGAAACAAAATGGGGGGAAGAAGGTATTAGATCAAGCAAGTCAGGTAACCACCAATGTTTTCATTGTGGTAACCACCGATTCTTCTCAAGCCAAAAAGCCGGGATGCTCATGGGTTTCTCTCCAATAGTGCTCAAAAGAAACACTGAATTTGGAATTCTATTTAAAATTCGGAAAAATTTCCAAGAAAAAGCGGTGGACAGAAATTCCATCACTAGAAAAAGATACGGCCTTGGTTAAGTCCCTATCAACAACATGAAAGTGCCAACCAGGGTCAAAAGGTTAATGCCAAAACTACAAAGACCTTAATGCCAGTCCCAAAATTTGTTGTGCGCTGCTGGACTACCTCACATGCTCTCAAAAAGTTACAGCAACTCCAATGCAATCAAGATTTCCCCGTGAGCTTCCGTCAAGTTTAATTTATGATCCTGACTGGTGGTGGGATCCATTTAGAATATCACTTCCCTAGCTGATTGGGTTCCAGGAAATGTTGTATCAGTGTTTGTAGCTTTACATAGACGATACCCCATAACTCCTTCCTGGCAACGGTCCATTGCCAGACTTCTGACTTTGATAAGAAGAGTGTTTGGGGAATTTATTGTGAAGTACCCTCCCATTCCATTTATGCCATATGGATCATAGTATTGCAAAAATTGCAAGAATCCACAGAAAGACGGAATGGGGGAAAGAACCATTGCTGAAAGAGGCTTTGTATTATGGATGGGCAAATCTAGGCAAAGACGAATTGCTTCAAGTAGGACTAGATGTTAGTCGCAGTCCCGCACAGTAAGAACGAACTTGGGACTGATTCTATGGCCTCTTCATACATGACAAACCTATTGAGGATCCGGATACTTTGATTTTCCATAATTAGAGCTTTTGACCAAACTTGTTAACCATCTCAAATCTTGATCTTACAATGGTGTGAGTATTCCCATATTCTACAGTAGCAGCTGCACTATTGTTCAGGCAGGTCATAGAAATATTTACCAACTAGATACCTTTGCTGTTAGGGCACCATATCAGCATGTCGCAACCCCTTTGAGGGATGATACAATAGTTCCATAAAGTGTTATTTACATTGTATTTTAGATTTCATTTGAATCAAAGGTAGTATGCTAACTGTCTACAGATTCTATGACCTAAACCCGCTGATTTTGTGGCCTCTTTAAGTGATGATGCAATTGTTCTATGAGATCTTGTGCTTTATTACCATTTAGGTTCCATTCGCAGCAAATATACGATGCTAACCAACATTTAAAAATTGATGATTCCGATCGTAATCGGCCGATCCGGATCGGGAATCGGCCAGACTGATCCGGAGTCAAGTAAAAACAGGGAATTGGCCGATTCTTACCAGTTCTTTGACAGAACCAACTGGTTCTCTTAGAGATCCGGGAGACGTAACCAGTTCTCTCTTTTTATTTACTTTTCTATTTATCTTTTATTTTTCATTTAAAATATTTGATTTTTTTTATTTAAAAGAGAGGTGGCTGAGTGGCTTACCCCTATGCCACGTCAGCCTCAAACTTGTGTGTTTTACAAGTTGCATGCATGAGCCACTTTTATAGACTTGCTCCCGTGGGAAATCTTGAAATGTTGCTGATGTGGGACAAATAACAAAAGGTCTTCCCTCGCAAATGACAAAAGGTCTTCCCTCTCCACGTTAATTAAAGAGAGAAAAAATATTTGCTTTAATTGTTGCTAAAACAATTAGAATAACAGGGGGAAAAACAATGATATCTGATTTCCCATAATAATAACAAACAAAAACTAAAAGAACTGTGATAATGGAAAAATAGCAACAACTAAAAGCAGATTGAATAAATAACATAGATTTCTACCATAGGTCTTCAAATGCTAATTAAAAAGAGACATGACCATAGCTTATGCCTCTCTCATTCATATATAAATACACAATAATACCCCTTATAAAGCCTATCTCTCTCTCTCTCTCTCTCTCCATTTAATAATGTCCACCACTTCCTCATAATGATTTGTAAAATACCCATCTCTCTCTGTTTAATAATGTCTACGAATTTCTCATAATAATTCGTAAAATATGTATCTCAGCAACTACATAGCAATAGTCCAGCACCAAAAACACGGGTGTATTAGGTCATCTTTCATTCTAACTTAATCGACTATTCTCTTTAAAAAAATTTAAGTGAGTCATCTTTCTTTCTAACTTAATAGACTATTTTCTTTAAAAAAATTTAAGTCCCTAGATTCCATTGTCCCTCAAATGGGTTATAAGTTACAAATATATTTATAACTGATAGACACATTAAATTGTTATTGTTATAAATTAAATAATAAATAAACATGTTATTGACATATTGTTATATCTTCCAAAATTGTAAAGTATAATTATATTTTGAAAATTGCAATATCATTTCCAAAAAATGCATAAATTTCATACATGAAAACCACTCCCTTGGCAAGGATGTGTTTTTATAAATATATGCCCCTTTTTGGACCATATATTCATATCCAAGATGATTTTATGCACCTTTTTTCGTGAGGTGTAATAGTCAACAAACATTTAGGTAGAAAAACATCTCAATATTAACGTATTTTGGCAAAATAATGAACGTACATGATGCACTACCCCCATTTTTCTTTGGAAACTCAAAAGCAATATTCCTAAGGATTTTTAGTATTTTTTGGGTTTTTTTTTAATGTCGTATCTGGCCGATTCACCGATCGGGACCGGTTTTCGTTTTGGCTATTTGGGCAACCTATCCGTTTTTTTCAAACATTGATGCTAACTATGGCCCAATCCATATCAGCTTCTCACAACCCCTTTTGAGGGATGATGCAATGGTTCTATGACGTCTTTTGCCTCCTCATTGTCTTTTAGATTCTATTTGAAGAAAAGGTCACATGCCAACTATCTACAGAATTTGCACACTAATCCAGATGATTCAGTGGCCTTTCTACATATGACACCTATTGAGGACTAGGAAGTGTTTCAAAAAGTGTTGTGCGGCACCCAGGCGACCATGGGGGTCCAGGCCCCCCCAACGGCTAGAACTTGGGTGGCCCAGTGGAAAAACAAATCTGATAATTTTGATAATCCAAATGACAAAAATTGCATCAAAATAAGAATTTTCTTTTATTAATCCATGTTTTATTAATCCCTAAGAATTTTGATAATCCATAAGACCATAATCCATTAGAATTTTGATAATTCACAAGACCATAATCCCTATTTTCATACAATGCTAAAATAGCAAACTATAAAACCATACAAGCATACACTGATAGTTCAATACACTGTAGACTGTACACACAAAAGTCCAATAGTAGAATTATAACCTAGAAAATAGGAAAAAGAAAATATACAGAAATAAAGAAAATATACAGTCTAGACACAAAAGTCAACACTAAACACAGTAGTCAACACTCAACACCACGAGGCAGGAGTCTTCAGTCATCATCATCATCATCAAAAGGAATAGGGTAAGCCTCATCATATGGATCCGATTCGAGGCCATCATCATTAGAGTGATCTCCCTCTTCAATATAACGTCCATCCTCCTCTGTTTCTTCTGAATCTGCCTCTTCCTTCCCCTCTTCTTCTACCTTCCTCTTACTAGTATGTGCAGATGAGGCCCTAAGAGTCTTGGCTGCTCTACCATTTTCTTTCTTTTTGTGCTTCCCTGAATTCAAATATTGTATAATTTCCTCCTTGGTAGCCACAAGAACATTTTTACACGGGGCAACATCCCCCATAATACCGACAAGGTATTTTTTAAATCGGTAAATGCCCCCATTAGTATCCTTTCCATAATAATTACATTTAATACGATTTTTGTCATTCGGATACGGGTTATAGCCATACTTCCAACCCGGATCACCACTTCTAAAAGAACCTGGAGAAGATAGTTCCATAGAACAAGGCTCATTTTCATCGATTTCATCATTTTCTGGTTCTTTTAAATTCAGAAGTTGTTTAACCACATCCCGAATACCTTCAGGAACTTTTTTACAAGAAGCAACATTCCCTTTAATACTAACAAGGTGTTTCTTGAATCGGTTAATACCGCCATTGGTATCTTGTTCACAAAAATTACACCTTATACAATTTTTGTCGTTTGGTTTTGGGTTACAACCATACTTCCAACCCAGATCACTTCTTCTAGAAGTTGCAGAAATAGATCTATTCAAATGACAAGGATTTTGTTCTTGTTTTTGTTTTACATAATTCATATATTGCTTAATCTCCTTTCTACTAGCTTCAGAAACATTTTTATAAGGGGCAACATCCCCCTTAATACCGACAAGATGTTTCTTAAACTGGTTTATGCCCCAGTTTGTATCTTTTTCACACAAATTGCATCTAGTGCAATTTTTGTCATTTGGATTCGAGTTATATCCATATTTCCAACCCGAATCTCCACTTTGACTAGATTCTAAAGAAGCATCTCAAAATAAAACAAGCAATCTAAAAACTAAAGTTTTGTACTTACTTTGAATGCTCGAACTCCAAACTCTCACCTCTGAGATGTTTTCTAGTGCTAAAATAATAAAAAATACCGTCTAATAGGATTATAAAACTCCAAAACTAAATCAAATCTACCTA